ACCAAAATGTTTCGTTGGATTCTGTGCTCATTTACAAAGTGCAATTGAACGAGCATTTTGGGGAAATGTATTTTATCATGTGCCGTTGTGAGACAGTTTATCAGATACTACAGGGAATATTTTTACATTTACATGTGTTTTTAATAGTAAGTTCACTGTCCATTTTCATTAGGAAAGAGTATCATGATGTATTTCACTGTAGTTGCCGTGATATATCTTAGTTCTTCACATATGTATAAATTGTATGTTCTTTAAGTGGATTATTTTCTCCACAGTTTTCAGGTATAAAATTGATGGCTTGAGGGAAACCTGTAAGCCAACCACTTATAAAGCTATACTATGTCAATTATTATTATGTCTTATGAAATAGGCATTTTTCTGTTATTGATTACTGTATTCTATCGTCACCAGACTTAGTGTTGACTAAATTATTTTATCCTTCTTTATCTTATTAGAGTTGTATTTTTATTAACTTAATGTACATAATGCAGTAGGGGTGATGTAATATATATAGTTGTGTGACGAGGATATTAGCGTGCGCTGAGGAAGAGATCTTGTCTCTGTTTGTTATGGCTGTTGCTTCATTGTTAGAGCTGTTGTTCATCTTGTCTGCTTCATCACCTTTGATCTATCCTCATTATACTTGCATGTATTTATTTAGTGTTTCAAAGAAAATAGACTTAGGCTTCATATTGAATCTAAATTCTCATATTCAAGTACTATGTACACCAGTGAAAGTTTGTCATGATGGTAGAATATTACATAATGAGGGAATTTCAAATTGAAATGAAGGGCTTTGTAATTTAGACTGAATATTGCACTTTGAAGTATTCAGTATTGTGATTTGAGAATAATTGGAACATAATTGGCTTTTGTGTGATCAGATGTGTGTTGTTGTGTGTCTTGATCTTTTACTTACTCAGATTTTATGAGCCACCTGTAGTTTTTCAGATGGTATGTACACATTTTTTATTTTCATTTTAAAGAAAGAAAATGAAAAACTACTCAGATACATCATAATTGAAGAAGATATTAAGAAGATAAAGAGTTCATGTGTGATTAATTTTGTATGTAAGATTCAGTTTGGTATATGTATATATATTTTAAATGGTTATATTTTTTGTGGAAGGAAGCACTCCTCAGCGCAGTGTAAGTCTCTTCTCACACAAGTCATAAAAAATTGGTGTCCCATGTTTGGCAGAATCTTATGATTGTATGTACCCCCACATTTTGATGTTCGACACCTCAGTCTGCCTAGATGAGAGGACGACTATTTTCGTCTTTGCTCAAGGTAAATGCCGTGAAAGATTTTAAAAAGTTACTGTTCTTTGTCTCTTGTTGTCTGTTGGATAATGTGTTTGATCACTGTATTGCTGCCCCAGGGTACCTCTACTGTTTTATTTCTCAGGATTTTCATATTTGAATTACAGTAGTTTCTGTATTGGTAAAAGCTGTGCAGATTTCTTTATTTGTTCAATAAGGCAGGATTCTTACTGTTGGCAAAATAAGCATCTCATCGGGGTAAGTCGAAATGATCGGTAACATCGAATCTATCTTTTGTATACTAGTCCCAGGATCACTGTGTGGACATGTCTTGTGAAGTCCAAGGATCACTGTGGGGACATGTGTAGCAGAGTCATAGGAAACTCTGTGTGGACATGTCTTATAAATTCCCAGGATCTCGTTATGGACGTGTCTAGCAAAAGAATGTGTTTGTTGTTCCATTATGCTCATATTAATTTCATAAAAGGAATGGATGTTATAGTTAGGGTAAGTGCACTTTCAATGTTTACAAGGTGCATCAAAAGCTACTGTATAGTGTTGCAAAGGAAGCTATAGTATCAAGTAATGTATGGAACTGTTTTATGAATTCATGTATACAATAATCACTGTGTTATACATTGTACTGAGTTTGGGTGGCTTTATTTTGAAGGATGTAAAACAAAAAGCAAGTTGATGACACCAGCATGCATTTCTCCCACAGGAAGAGGATTATTATGTGATTATTGGTGTTATCTAAAATTGTTTTTTTTTCTTTCTTCTGTATCCATTTTGCACATGGAAGTGAAGATTTAACCTTCACAAGATAGTTCAGTCATCAATGCACTTATTTAAGCGAATTCTTTTTTTTTCTTTTCTTTTCTTTTCTCTTTTTTACAGCTTTTCTGTTCAAGTTATTTGGAGTATAGATGTCGTAGGTATGGAAAAGTGGTTTGGGCAAGATGAAATGGATGATGATTTTGATGGTGATTAGGTTACGGTTTTTGTGCTGAAACTTTGCTTTCAATACTTATGGTCCTTTTTTAGTATTATTTGGTAGTTATACTTTCTGATTGTTATTATTTGCTGTTGTTATTATTGATTTGTTCATTTGGCACTCCAGCAATTAATTTTGCGTGTGTTTGTCATCATTATTGTTATGAGAGAAACGATGATATACTAGTATTTGCTGTCACTGTTGATATTATCATTATTGATTCTTTGAATATTCATATATTAG